CGCACATCCATTTTGGGTCATCGCAGAGTTGGGAGCATCACCGCGCCGAATATCTTTGGCATGGACGAGGTTATTCTTGATAAGCCAACAGATTTCTCCTACCATGCAAGCTCATTTGCAACTCTTCTTCTTATACCGAAGGAACAGTTTCACGCTTTGTTTAGGTCTTCGGCTGTTTTTGCCAGTAGTGTTTCTGGGCAAATCGTGCGAACCCTCTCCGCATTCTCCGTGTTTGGAGACTTTTGCCGGTCTCTATTTGGGCTGTCATCGGCGTCTGTCAACGGCCGACGCAACTTCGGCGAAGCGGGATACAAATTACCCATGTCAACAGTTGTTAACATTTATGAATCGAGTGGAACCGTGTTCCACAAACTGATGCGCTCTCCCACTATCGACACGGACGCTCTGCAGTACTGCGTGATGCGGTTGCCCGAAAACATCACGGAGACGTTTGTCTTGATTCTCTCGCGCGCTGTGCCTACTTTCTTCGCCGGTGGCCCTGCACCGCNGTTCGGCGAATATGGACCACGTGGAGGATTGGAGAAAGAGGAAAGACGGTTGTCATTGCGCGGGACGGCTTCACCGACGTTATCGATTTCGTGACCAACTTGTGCATGCTGATGGTGGAATCCAAGAAGATACGGTTACGCCTGCAAGGACTCGCATCGACATCTGCCATGGACTTTTTGCGCAACTCCCTCACTATTGGAAATGACGCATCAGATGCGGCGGTAAAATCTGTACTTTCTCAACTTCCATTCTCGGAGAGGGAGGTGGAGGGATTGCTGCAGGTATGGGAAGGACCACATGTAATAAAGATGTTGTATAACATCTTGTTGCAACACGAGGAATTTGTGGTATATATTGATGTGAACATGTCAAAGAAATTCACGCAGGATCCTTACGTGAATTGTTGTCTTTCCATAAGCCGCCATATCAAGGCAGAACTTGGCCTCAGCGAGGAGGAAAGCCTTCCAGACGACTTGATCATTGATATCATCTTTTCGCCCAACACCACTATTAAAAACCTCCTCTGCTCGGCGTCAGATGACTTCAGACAAATGCTGGAGATGTGTGATGAATGGCGCACGGTTAGTAGCACTCTAACAAACCCGGACGATTGTTACCTGTATGTACTATCGCAAGTCCTGGAGCAGGGGGAAACGGTGCGGGAGTTGTACCGTCAGCGTCTAGAGGCATCAGGGTTCATCATGATGGAGGACACAGCAGGTTCGGCGCTTGCGGTGGATCTGATTAATGTCAGCAAGTTGTGTGTCTCTGACATGGATGCGTCCTTGCGGGCCGCAGTGCCAATCAAGGAGGAAGCAAGAGGAAGGAGCTTCATCATTAATGTAGATGGAACGTTTGGGGCACAAATCGAGGCCATATTGCGGAATCTTAATCTTACCTTTGGCAAATATATCCGAAGTGTCAATGTCTCTGGCAGCGTAGCTGGTCTGGTCGGGAAACGTGGCGATGTTGTTTTACCTACGAAGCTGCTCTTCTCAAAGCAAACATTTGGGGAGGACTCCACCGATGAAACACGGTTGTGCAATGAGGGCAGCATAACTGAGGAAGATGTTCTCCCATTCCTTGGCAAGGACACCGTTGCGCTTCACCGGGGTGGATGCGTCACAATCCCTGGCATCATTCTCTACAGTGACTCTGTGTTGCGCTTTTACAAGGTGGTTCACTGCTGTACCGCTGTGGACATGCGTAGCAGCTATGTTGCGCGGCAAATGGAGGAGAGCCGCCGCACAGAGATACTGAAAAAAGGCTTAATCAAGCGTTTCCTGTTTTACATGGACAGTGTGCCGCTTAGCGAAGAGGATGATACTGGAAGTAGTTCGCAGGTAACTGAAATCCTGTTCTCTGTGTACGCAACCACCCGATCGCTGCTTAACCTGATTCTGTCCTCTTGATAGCCGTCCATCTGTTTTGCCTTCCGAAGGCGTGATGCCTTATAGCAGTTCCATCGCGCTGTACACGACCTCTGGTGAGATGCCCCCTCTACCCTTTCAGCGATTGCGTTCCTGTTTTTATTCGTATTTCTTAGTTTTTATTTTTTTGTTTGATATCTTTCGATAGGAATGGTCTGGTCTTTTACGCTACTGTGGCGATAGTACAGTACTACGGTGACTTTCCTTGCTGCTTCTCATTACACCCATCGGAAAAGGTGGGCGGTGCTTCAACGCCCGCCCAGCCCAACCCTCACCCCCTCCCGCGCGGGCAGCGGGTTGAAGACACTTTCAGCTTTTCCTTTTCGTAAGTCTTAAGCGAACTGCACGGAAAAAGGTCATTGATTACTTTCCCATGGCTAAAGGGATTTCCGCATCTGTCAAGCGGAACAAGACAAGGCAAGTGTTGATCTCGACAATATTGTGCTCTTCCTTTCTGTTCTCTCCTTCGTGAAAGTAAGGCGCAGACTATTCTCTGCTTTTCTACAACACACACAAACCCACACGCATGTGCACAAACTCTGATTTAAAAAGATGGGCTTGTGGGGGAGGGGTCACTAACTTCCACTCAAACCCTTCTTGCTGGACACGAGGGAACTCGTCACCGAGAGGTGTATTCTTCGCCAGTTGATACATTTTGCACATGTACACCGCCTTGGAAGCCCCCTTTGGCTCACCTGGGAGCTTGCGGCATCGCTCCATCTCACGTTGAGGTATATGCAAAGCCCTTTAAACATTTGGTACCCGCTGACGGGCGAAAGTTTTCACCCGCTGGTGGCATCCTCCTCGTTTTCTGATGCTATTAAGCGTCAGCATCCACTCACACAGGTGTTGAATGTATAGACGTCTGTTCCCTCTCTTCCTGCAATGGCTCAAGGTCCTGTAGCTTTGTCCGCAGCAGCGTCCCCTGATGGACAGCCGCGGTGGTTCGCTGTTCCAGAAAAGATGCAACATTTTTTTGTTGTACGAAATATGCCTTCTTTTTCGTATTCTACTACTTTGACGCGGTGCGGCGGCGGCGGCGGCGATGGAGGCCCACGCTTACTCGGCTTGTGGGTTTCTACAACACTGCTCAGCCGTGTGCCGGTTGAACCAGATATGGAAGCAGTGATTCACACACCGGGCCGCTTTATGGGAGTTGTAAACGCCGACCAGTTGTACCCGAACTGCTTCCTGGCGGAGAAGGAGTTTGAATGCCTGCTACTGCAATCTGGTAAAGGATTTACAGAAAAATGACAGATTTTGGTTTGGGTAAAGAAGTGAGTGACTGAAAGTTTGGTTTGGTGCTGAAATCTTTGTTGCTTATATTGACCTAGCGGTCTTGTGTGGTATTCCTTTCTTCTTTGTTTTTAAATTGAGTATAGGTTTTAACATTTGTTCTCTTTGCTTCTCTGGTTGTGTGTGTGTGTGTGTAGCTTTGCCATGCCGCGAGCATTGAGTAGGAAGGCGGCAATCGTATGCGGTGCCGTGGCCACAACCGCTGTCTTTGGTTGGCGCTACCAACCATCCCCAGTTGCATTTTCAAAGGAAACGCCAACACTTGCGCCAGGTGTTGACGCCATTTTCTCAGGCCAATTGTGGGAATGTATGCGCTTCTTGGATCAGCGGCGGGGGGAATGGAAGGTGGAGTCGAGCAAC